GCGGCGCTCCCCGGCGCCCCCTCATGCCCGCCTCTCTCCTCGGCCTTCCTCCCACAGCGGAGGAAGTTCCTGCAGATGAAGCGCAGGAAATACGGCTTCATCTACAAGACGCATCTGTTCGGGCGGCCCACCGTGCGGGTGATGGGCGCGGACAATGTGCGGCGCATCTTGCTCGGAGAGCACCGGCTGGTGTCGGTCCACTGGCCAGTGTCGGTGCGCACCATTCTGGGATCTGGCTGCCTCTCTAACCTGCACGACTCCTCGCACAAGCAGCGCAAGAAGGTGGGGGCGGGAGGCGACGGATGGACAGGGAAGGGGACCCCATTTATGACAGGAATTCCGGCTGGTGGATGCTGGGCGCGGGCTAGCAGCTTGAGGTAGGCTAGGACCCTCTGCCAGCTCCAGGTTAGCTTTCCCAGCTCGGAGAGTGCCATGTGTCTGGCAGGACTGGGGGTGTCTGGAAGGGGACGGCGGTAGACGAGAGGGGCGGATGGAGGGTTTTAACGCTCTCCGCTCCTCGGGGCTCAGGTGATTATGCGGGCCTTCAGCCGCGAGGCACTCGAGTGCTACGTGCCGGTGATCACCGAGGAAGTGGGCAGCAGCCTGGAGCAGTGGCTGAGCTGCGGCGAGCGCGGCCTCCTGGTCTACCCCGAGGTGAAGCGCCTCATGTTCCGAATAGCCATGCGCATCCTACTGGGCTGCGAACCCCAACTGGCCGGCGACGGGGACGCCGAGCAGCAGCTTGTGGAGGCCTTCGAGGAAATGACCCGCAATCTCTTCTCACTGCCCATCGACGTGCCCTTCAGCGGGCTGTACCGGGTAAGGGCGGCAAACGGGCTGTGGACTAGGGGCGCGGGACCCGGGCATCTGCTCACCTCCGCGCGCTCTCTGCGCTCAGGGCATGAAGGCACGGAACCTCATTCACGCGCGCATCGAGCAGAACATTCGCGCCAAGATCTGTGGGCTGCGGGCATCCGAGGCGGGCAGGGGCTGCAAAGACGCGCTGCAGCTGTTGATCGAGCACTCGTGGGAGAGGGGAGAGCGGCTGGACATGCAGGTGAGTGACAGCTTCAGACCAGGCATTGCGGAGTTTGGTCCCCTGGCTTTCCAAGCGTGGTTCCTGGGGCCCCCAAATCGCGCGCCTGGGACCCAGCTTTCTGGAGTGGGCGGCCCTCTCAGACTACAGCGATGGAATTCCGAAGGCTGAGACACCGGGTCAGGAGAGCTGCGGAAGGGGCTGCGGCGGAACTGAGAGCGTCCCCTAACTTTTCCAGGCTTCAAAGGGAAAGTTGGAATTTGCAAAAATGTTAATAAAGAACCTTGCGATTTTAATAAAACTAAGACTTTAACTCAGGAGTTTCCGGTAGAGTGGGGTCGTACTCGCCTTACTGCTCTAGCTGAACTAAAGGGACTTTGCATTTTGTTTAAAGATATTGCTTTCCTTGACTTTCTGTCAGCAAAACATTTAGCCCTTTTAGTCTTCCCTCCAGAAATCTAAGTTCGATTCTGAGTAATCCTTCTGTCAAACCGCACGCAGACTTGTGGACTTGTGAGAACGTGGATCTTACTCTATTTTAGGCACTAAAGCAATCTTCAACCGAACTCCTCTTCGGAGGACACGAAACCACGGCCAGTGCAGCCACATCTCTGATCACTTACCTGGGGCTCTACCCACATGTTCTCCAGAAAGTGCGAGAAGAGCTCAAGAGTAAGGTAGGGAGACTGGGACTGGGGGTGTCCTTACTAGCTTAGGAAATTCAGCTGCTCCCTAGCCAACTTCCGAATAAGTCATTGTGCTGCCTTCATTGAGTGTTTTGAAAGTGCAGGGCCCAGGGCTGTGTGAGCCAGTGGGGAGAATTAGCTTTGTGAATAAACAGGATGGAGTCTTGAGCTGTGATCCCACTTACGCAGGGTTTGACCTTGTATTCATTTTGACCCCTCCTCCACCTTTTGCTGAACCGAGGAGATTCTCAGATAGGTTCCACTTTCTTGAATTGGTGTGTCCGAGGGCATACATAGTGTGATCAGTGTGAATAGCTGATTAGTGTGGGTGGTGGTGAGTGGGAGGGTTGTGGGGGGCGGGGCGAGGGGAGAAACTTGGCCCTTCTAACTGGTGAGCAGCATTCTCTTGGGATTGTAAATAGATAGTGAATTTGGGCAGGCCAATGGCCACTAGCTGCTGTTTCCCCCTCCCAGTCTCTCCCATCATGGGGCCCTTTGGGTTTAGTCTCCACTTAAGCCCTGTTTACGTCTGCTGGGATGATTTTATTGGAACACAAAATAACTGTTCACCTCTGTATGACTGTTTTGATAGGGTTTACTTTGCAAGAGCAATCAAGACAACAAGTTGGACATGGAAATTTTGGAACAACTTAAATACATCGGGTGTGTTATTAAGGAGACCCTTCGACTGAATCCCCCAGTTCCAGGAGGGTTTCGGGTTGCTCTGAAGACTTTTGAGTTAAATGTAAGTTAAAATTCTCTTCTCCCTCCCTTTTGTTGTGGTTTAAAAAACTCCTCTTGCTTCCTTCCCTATGCTGTGGCTGCAGTTCTTACGCTTTTGATAATTGTTCTGCCCTATATGAAGGTGTGTTTCAGCAACCTGGGTCCACCTTTCTCTTTCTACCTCTCCCTTGCTTTTAGCTCATAATTTTCCCCAAAGATATCAGTGACTGCTTTTTGTTGTTGAAAGTTAAATTCCAGTTTGTCAGCCCTTGGGGTTTCATAATCTTTTGCAGGGATACCAGATTCCCAAGGGCTGGAATGTTATCTACAGTATCTGTGATACTCATGATGTGGCAGAGATCTTCACCAACAAGGAAGAATTTAATCCTGACCGATTCATGCTGCCTCACCCAGAGGATGCATCCAGGTTCAGCTTCATTCCATTTGGAGGAGGCCTTAGGAGCTGTGTTGGCAAAGAATTTGCAAAAATTCTTCTCAAAATATTTACAGTGGAGCTGGCCAGGCATTGTGACTGGCAGCTTCTAAATGGACCTCCTACAATGAAAACCAGTCCCACCGTGTATCCTGTGGACAATCTCCCTGCAAGATTCACCCATTTCCATGGGGAAATCTGATGAGCTTGAATGCTCAAACCTCAGACTTATTTCAAGTGTACATATGAGTTTTTAAGGAGTGTTGTGTTGACTTTGTATTTAATTTCTAAATGTATATTATAATATTTATGTGTTTTGACTATATTACCACAATCTTTAAATATTAAAATAATGAATTTGTATTATTTCCAAATAAAGTAAAATTTGAAGGTACTTTTCTGGTATTTAAGATTCCTGTCGGGTAAAATTCAGCAGTTTAATATTTGCTTAGTGTATTTAACCAGATTTTACAATGCCCACCTGGGCTTATCTGTGCATCTCTGTTTTCTGTGAGAAGAAATCTTAGCTGCTTTTTATGTTAACAGTTATTAGAAAATACATGTCTGTGTGTGTTATTCCAGACGTTTCTCTGTAAATTCTTCTACAGTCATTTAGATTCCCTATTTGGAAAATTGATCCAAGTTAATTAAAAATTTTTTTTGGTTTGCTTTACTTTAGGGAAAAAGGTAACACTGAGAACTGTCATTCTAACCCCTCCAGCTCATCTAACATGTCATAAACATAATAAATCTGTTCTCTGAAGTGAAGGTTTTAGATAAGACAAAGCCAGTCACTCCAGTTATGGACAGTTCTTGACTAAAATGAGACCAGAAATCACTGGCGTGTCACCTTTACTTAGAAGTTGCATATGGAAACAGTATTAGGAAAGGTGCATCTCTGGTTTAGATAAGCTGAGCCCAGGTTTTCTTTATTCAAAATGAGGCAGGAGGAGCAGATTTAGCAAACTGACAGATAAAGTTTTTATCTATCCCAGGCAATAGGGTGTGAGCCTGACATGACTGATAAAATGGCCCAGTCATGACCCTGTGAACCTTGGCTAACCTCCGTGAAAGCGCAGTTTTGTCACATTTCTGACCCTGGCATAGCCACGGTCTGAACTGAAGGCCAGACTCTCAATCCAGAAAGGTTAGCCCTGGTGACTTGCTTATGCAAGCACATTTTCGGTTTTGGAATGGCACAATCTGCTCACTGAACCTCTGATGACTTGTAGGTTTTAAACTTTACATTTTTCATTACAATTTTAGAATTTGGCAATGCTGCAGAAACCAGGTGGTCTAAATAGGTGTTTGAAAAGTGTTCTGTCTACAGTTACAGTTATGTGTTCTACCTGACTGTAGTTTTTTAGGTAGAACTTGGGTTGTTCTTATTGTTGGACTACTCTGAATTTTAAAGGATGTTTATGTAATAACTCATAATGCCTTCTAATGCCATTAAAAAATGAGACATTACAGGCTATATAGTTTCAGCCAAAGCTTTAGTGTACTATAGCGTGCATAGATGACTCTTCTACCCCTAACATTTGTCCATACATTTCCAGCTAGGAGCATGCTAGACTGAGGGCGTAATTATTTCAGATAATTTATACAAAGGCATTTTTAAATTCAATTTAATTTATTTATTTTTCGAGACAGAGTTTCACTCTGCACCCAGGCTGGAGTGTAGTGGCATGATCTTGGCTCACTGCAACCTCCGCCTCCTGGGTTCAAGTGATTCACCTGCCTCAGCCTCCAAGTAACTGGGATTATAGGTGCACACCACCATGCCCAGCTAATTTTTGTAATTTTGGTAGAGACGGGGGGTTCCACCATGTTGACCAGGGTGGTCTTGAACCACTGACCTCAGGTGATCCGCCCACCTTGGCCTCCCAGAATGCTGGGATTACAGTTGTGAGCCACTGCGCCCGGCACAAAGCCATTTTACAGGGTTTTTTTTTTTTTTTTTTTTAAACAATCTTGCCCTGTAGCCCAGGCTGGAGTGCAGTGGTGCAATCTCAGCTCACTGCAACCTCCACCTAACGGCTTCAAGTGATTCTTGTGCCTCAGCCACCTGAGTAGCTGGGACTATAGGTGCATGCCACCATGCCCGGCTAATTTTTGTATTTTGGGTAGAGATTTGGTTTCACCACATTGGCCAGGCTGGTCTCGAACTCCTGACCTCAAGTGATTCATCCACCTCGGCCTCCCAAAGTGCTGGGATTACAGACATGAGCCACCGTGCCCCACCTAAAAGAGTTTTAATACTTTTCATTCTTTTGGAGGACAGCTGGCCTTTAAAACACTATCTTCGCTGACTCGGTGGCTCTGTTTCTCTGTGAGTGTGGTGCAGTTGGAAATCTGAGCCATCTTAACATATCATTCATTTTTTAATCTGGGGCGCTTCGAGGAAAATGCTTCTGGTTTGCATTTCCCAGGGCTAGATTTAGCCCAATTATCCTGATCAGTTACAGAGTAGCAAAGAATTCATCTTGAAAATATGTTAAAAACACAATCTTTGATCATGTGCTTCGTGCAGAGTAAAAGCAGTCTGGAAGCGTGTGAGCAAGGCTGCTGTCTTGGACAATGGGCCTAGGTTACATCTCTCTGGGTCAAGCATGTTTTATGGCACAGGCACCTCTGGGCTGGTGTCCACGTGATGGAGAAATGATGTAGATTTGGCCAAAACTGTGGAAGGAGGGGACATGACCCCTCTTGGACTCACTCTGGAAAATGACCCTTTGGGCTCCTAGCAGCATGGTGTAGCGATAGGGGTGCTGTGCTGTCCAGGACTGCGGGTGGATGGCCAAGCTGATGCCCTCTGCTTCCCCTTGCACAATGCCCTTTGCCCTTGCTGCCTCCCATGTTCTCTTCAATCAGGAATGTGGTGCCACCAACCACAGACCACTGTCAGGACTGAGATGTGAAAGCCTGAGGCTTCAGCATTCAGAGGGATTGGAGCCTTTAACCTAGCAAGGTCCTTGGAGGCCCAGAGAGAGACTGTAGTTTTCCTGGGGCCACACAGGGAGTGGCAGAACCAGGAAAGACTTCCAGATGCCATTTTTTTTCTGCTTTCTTTTTTTAAACAGCTAATAACACTTGCCCGATTTCTTTCTAACTCGTTGTTGCCAGACACATAATCCAGGGGCCTCAACTTCCTAACTTCGTTTTATGTCCCCTGCTACCACTCCCGTGACAGCACAGATCAGTTCTCTTGCAGGTCCCCAGAGGCGGTTGGTGAAATGGGAGCACTGAGAGGAGGTGGCTGCTCCCGGAGACTCCCTGTCCCCTGTTAGGGTTTCAGTGCTTTTTTGCACCGTGTTACTCTCCAGAGATCCACAAGGGGGCGGGCTTCTCCCTTCTATGCCAGGCTCAGAGGCCAGTGGTTTTCCCCACCAGTGTCCACGAATTCCAGTGTCCAAGACTCTGGCCCAGGGCCCACTTTTACCTCGAACTATGAGAAGCTACAGGCCACCCAGGGCTTAGGAAGTACTTAGCACCAGGCCTGGTCAAGGCTGCCTGGCCCCTCTGGAAGGGGTCACCCCAGGCTGGGCTGACCTGCGCGTCTTACAGATCCTGAAGCAGCCGCCAACCCTTGGTGGTCTGTGGGGTTAGTGGCCCAGGTTTCCAGCATTGCCCCCACACTGCCCACGTGTGACTTATGCTGCTTTCACTCTACCTGGAAAATGAGGGACCAGGGAGCGCAGTTTACAAAGAACGCGGGTAAACTAGTCAGTGTCCGGATGACCGCAACCATGTGGGGGAGCCACCGCACAAAAGCACCTAGGGAGGAACGAGGGAAGTATAGGGAGGTTGCAGTGGCTCCTTCAGACAGTCAAACGGCTGCTGTAGTCAACACAGGCTCAGACCCGTTCTGAGGGACAGAGCATGAGCCTAGGAGGGTATCTCCACCTCCTGAAATATGCTGGAAGGCAGGAACTGTGTCTCATTGTTCTAATCGTATACATGTAATCCATTTTCACATACTTCTACAACCTCCCCTGGAATGTACACGTAGTAGGTGTTCTCGGGAAGAAAAAGCTTCTTGGGGCCAATTGACACCATTTACCTTATGTTTCTCCAACTTACATGGTGCCATGTTTTTCTTTGAAAAGTGAAACTTTCATCCTTGAAAAATCTCAGCGGCTGCAAGCATACACGGCTGTGGTTTAACAGCATGTCACATTCCTGAAACCGATGCTCCACGGGTATTTGGCCAAACAAGCTTTCCTTCCTTTGAAGTAGAGTCAATTCGAGTTAGAACCCTGGGACAGGGATGAAGACTCAGCCCGGGACTACTTGGTGGGTTTTCTGGGTGAGACATATCATTTTGCAATATTCATAACCACGCACCCTCAGCACAGAAGCTGCCCCACACTGTAAGATTTCTCACTGCTGCGGAGCCCTCCCTTAGTACGTTGAGGAGTTAGAAACCTGTTCACGCCTTTAGGATGGTAGATGCTTCAAGATTTTCGTTTTGTTTTTTGTTTTGAGACGGAGTCTCACTCTGTTGCCAGGCTAGAGTACAGTGACACGATCTCAGCTCATTGCAACCTCCGCCTCCCAGGTTCAAGCAATTCTTTTGCCTCAACCTCCCCAGTAGCTGGGATTACAGGCATGCTCCACCACGCCCAGCTAATTTTTGTAGTTTTAGTAGAGACGGGATTTCACCATGTTGGTAAGGATGGTCTCAATCTCTTGACCTCGTGATCCGCCGGCCTCGGCCTCCCAAAGTGCTGGGATTATAGGCATGAGCTACCGCGCTTCCCTGCTTCAAGATTTTATCTGAAGTCACTAATGAGTTCACTTAAATGTATTGTGAAAAGAGGACCAGGTGCTTTGCTTATAATAGATATGTGACAAAACAAATTTGTTAAGTACAGCCAAATCAATTCATTGACTCGTTCATTAAGTACAGCCATATTGTCCAATATAACAATGACTTAATGATAGATGGGGGCATTCAGTATTCCGAAATTGAAAGTTCATTTAATGTCAGGTAGTCACAGACTTTTAGAGCCATAAAGGAGGACAGATAATCTGGCCCCTTAGTTTACAGTTGAGAAACTTGAGGTTGAAAGAAATTTTAGGTTACAAGAGAGAATGTGCCCAGCACACTGTAGGTACTCGAGCCTGCTCTCAGCTTAAAAAAAAAAAAAAAAAAAAAATCAACTGTATTGTTTACTTATATACGTGTCAGAGAAAAAAATGCAGGTGAGCAGGCTATTTGAGACCAAATAGTTCTTATTTGTCATGATACTGCTGAGAGTGTGTGGACTCTGGGAGGTGTCGTGAGAACTTGGAATTTTGTGGCCTCAGAGAATTTGACACAAAACCTGGCAGAAGGTACAGATTACTGGCATTTATGGTGGGGGTGGGTGCTGAAGCCTTCACATTGGT